CACCAACCACCATAGTTTATTCATTTCATTACCATATAAATGTAAAGGCCTGCCGAGAATTTATCGAAAACAAACGTATGTTCGCCAATTTATCTTCTGAAATTTTCCACGGGAATTTTTGCAAAGTTAAAACAAACCATGGAAATATTTACCAAACTTAGACAGTCCATATATGTATATGACTTAGATCAATTAAAAGGCTTTTTATGTAAAGTTACCTCTTGTAAAAGGCGCTTAATTAGATATGTCGGCGTCGAATATCTGTATATTCTGCCTTTTTTTGAAAATCAAGTTAAAATCAACATGGGACATTTTGGCTAGTTTTTTTGGCTTCCCTAAATCTTTTGCTAAAAATGAAAGAACTTGCCAATACAAGCGAACATCCGTGTCCCAGGAAGCAATTGAGAAGAAGAAGACTCGATCGCTGGGACAAGATGTTGTCCCAGCGATCGAGTCTTCTTCTTCTCAATGAAAGAACTCACTTTTCGATGTATACCAGAACAGGTCCCAGTATACTTGTTTACTTCTGGGCTCAGTATTAAGGTGGCAATCTCATTATTGCACTATCCTCAATTTCGTGAACGCAAAACAAAATCGTCCGTTCTCCGAAAATATATAGTTAATCAGTTTATGCTTTTTATTAAAGTTCTTTTATAGTACAACACACAAAAACAAGTTTCTTTTCCGCAATGTTTAACAGCTTAGGGAATTCTTTGGATATCAACAAACGTTGGATTTGGCCCCACTTCGCTCCTTCTTACCCTCAGTATACTGACCTCGACAGAATTCTTTTATAGTAAATAGCATTTTACACTTTAGGTCAACTCAATTTACAAAATAAACAACCTCAAATGTGTATGACGTCACCTACTCAAATTTTCACATTTCATCAGATATACAATTTACTGTATATGGGGGCACCAGAATTTATGAAAGAACCAAAAGTCTTGAATTATAGCCTGCTATTCTTTACTCTTCTTGAATAAAGGGATCGGTCGATTGAGGTCCCTATTTTTGGAATGATGAAGAACTCTGAGAAGAGCTTTGAGAAGGTGCAGATCGGAACATTTCTACTAGGCGTGCATGTTGAAGAAATGCTTGACTTCCCTGAAGATCTGGTGTCCCAATTTTCCGCCGATACGCAGTCGCCAAGTGAGGTAGCAGACTCTATTTCCTTACCCAAGTATACGCGCAAGGTAAGCGTGGTAGACTGGACATGATTCATTTTCCGACTGATTTCAATTTATTTCTTCCGTTGAAGGTGCTAACTGTCTGTTGGTAGTATCGCATGTCAAGTAACTCAAATGGGACTTTGGTTAAAAGAATATTAAGATGCTGAAATGCACTCTCAGACCAGAGACTCCAGCTTGAAGATTTCGCTGAGTCTTTATAATCTTAAAGAAGATAGTGACAACAGTCAGCGCTACCTTTTCTCCGAGCCTTAAAGAATTTATTCTTTCATTTTACCACACATATTTTACTCATATGTGGGGAAAGATGCACTAGGCCTGGTAATTGTCTTTTGTTCCTGACCTTTGCCAACTGTAACGAACTTCTGTGCTCTGGGAGCTCAATACATCGATGCATGAATACCTAGATAATTCGAGGTCACTGAGTTTTAATCAATATTCATTTTAGGCAGTTGTAAATTGTTTTCATCTACTTTCGATAACTCATAAATTAAAACAAATTTTATAAAGACCACGCACAAAGATAAACTTCTTCGCAATTAGTTTATAATGAATTGCACCTTCTTCAAATTTGAGGTTCGAAGAAAAGAAAACTTCCGGTAAACAAATATAAGATAAGGAGATAATACAAGAGCGTGAAATGTCCATTCCTGGGTAATCCTTTCCGCGCGTTTATAAAGCAATGTATTCAGGGGCCTTTGAAAATGTTGAGAGCCTCATGTGGTGTCTACTTGAAAGTAGTGAGGAATGTATGGTATTGGTTGCACTGGACGTGTATAATGTGTTGTTTTCAGAGTTTAAACGAAAGGATAACGGCATTTAGGAACTGAGAAACTTTAAAAATCTGTAGGACTGTTTTTAATCAGACAAATTGACCTACTTGTAAATGTCTACCAGAGGAAATTTATCAGGGATAATTACATGCATGTTTTCTTTAAAATGTGTTTTTTCATGCATATACGCATTAAATTAAAATTCACTATAAACAACAGTATAAACATATTTAAAGGTTCAGTATAAACAACATATACTGCCTAATTAGTCGTGATTTACATAGTGAAATGTGATTGATATATTTCGAGATTTTTCTGCATGGTAAAGCATTTTAAAACTCCAGATCACTTACCACATTTAACCAAAAATACATTTCAGAAATAAGGTTGAAATGTCATGTAATGTGCCTTCTACGCTACATTTGTGCCATTTGATGTCAAACCACTGCTCGCATTCCACCCACATTGTTTTTCTGCAGCCTCTTCGAAATCGCATGACCAGTCATTTAAACCGACACAAATTACGCCGCGTCAAATCTCGTAGCGTTATCTCCGAGCCTGTCGAGGACACCAATGAGTTACAAATCCAGAATTATTCACGCTTTGTATTCAAACCCGAAGCCTGCACCAAAGTTATGCTCGAACGAACAGGCGTCAAACCCAACATCGCCTGGAGACCCTTCGTCGACTGGCCGGGCAACCGCCTCGCGCTTCCGCGTTTTGTGGCTATGCTGCATAAGACGCCGAGGGTCTTTGAGCTGCGCAGTCCCCGTCTTGATTGGCCAATGGAATTCCTTGCCCCGATGCGTCGCTTAATGTTGCCTTCAATAGATGCCAGCAGTCCGGACTCAGAAAATCCGACCGCACAGACCCGCGTTGTTTCGAGTGGGGTCCTTATCATCCATCTTATTGGTGCGCGCGGTCTGCGTGCGGTACCTCACGTGAAGGACGTCAGCCCGCGAGACGAGAACTCCAGTGGGAAGGCAGCTTCGCCGGAAACCTGTGCTGCTTCTATCGTGGCCTACCACTGGGCAGCGAAAACGCTTACCGCGCCTCCTAAACCCTCGGTGCTGATAAAGTATGGAGGCGA